AAAAGCTTATTCTTCCTTTATTCCTTCTAGATGATAGCATGTAATAGAATATTTAATATCTTGTTAATGTTAATTGAAGTTCTGTAAAACTTGATATGAGCACAAGGAAATAGTTTACTATGTGCAGTGCTGTTATTTATTCTGTAGTTGCTCCAGAGGGAGGTGCTTTGGAAACAAAGCAGGGATACATTTTTCAAAGAATATCAAATATTGAAAAATAACCAACAGATACCCAAGGGGAATGCACTTAAGAAGGAAAACATTTCAGAAAGGAGTTTTGCTAGAGAAAATAATCGCACACAAAAATGCAGCCAAGAGATGAAGCCAGTCTTTTTTCTACCACTAGATTGGAACCTGGTAGCAGACACAGTCTGTGCCTAACAGTGAAACTGAACACATGGATGAGGAATGATTAATTTGGATTTCACTAGTTTTGTAGAATCACATTATAACAAGTCTTAGTTACAACCATACATGAAGAGGTAACATTTTGAAGTTAAAACATAAGTTGTACAGCTATCTAGATCATCCAGATTAGAAATTGTTCTGGGGCCCTCAGCAAGGTTATTTAATTTCTATATGCCTCAATTTCCTCATATTTAAAATGGGGATCTAATGACATTAGTTGTGTTATAGAGGTATTTTGAGAATTCAAATGAATTAGTGTATATGAATTTGTACCTACCAGACATGTGAAGTTGAGCTTATTGGTTACTAATGTTAAAGAAAACATTCTGTAATGCATACAGGATTTTCTTTCCTTCTTTTTTGGAGAGCTTGACAATTACCAATTCTTAATAAGTCTTAAGAGGAGGTTCCTTTGTATAAGTACATGCTGAAACACCCAAAACTTCAGTAACTATTTTAAGAGAATAAAAATTCTTCCTAGCCTTTTTGAAAGACAAAGAACACCACACATTTATAGTGTGAGCTGTTTTGTTTGTGAAATCGTTGTCAATTCTTCTTTATTCACAAACTCACTTCTTCCCACTGAAAGGTGAATTAAAAAGTCATTTAAGTGTCATTTTGAAATCATTCTAGTATAGACATATACCTTATTTATTAATATGCCACCTACTCTCAGGGAAGTCTATGTTTGATAGATGGGTATTTGTAAGTTTCATTATCTTTCACATTTCACTTCAGGTTGCTTCATTTTTCTTTCTTTGTAGAACTTTATTTAAATTTACTAAGGTTTAATACTTTACTTTGATTTAAGCTTTATTGTTTTCTTGTCATGGGATGTGACATTTTAAAGAATTGATAAACTACAGAATAAATAAAGCTACCTTACTAGCTAATGATTATTTAGCCTTCCTTGTGTTCAGGTCTCAATTACTTATATTTACATATACTCATATACATACCTATAAGTATATACACATATATAACATTAATTAAATATGTATGAATTGTACTTATACACACATATATGTATATATTTCTCCTTAAATCTCACATCTGTGACAGAAGTATAATGATTATATTTTGAAATTTTAAAAGTATAATTATAAAGTTATTATCTCCTTAGAGATAATAATTCATTTATGAAAGTACATGAAGTAGTAAGAGAGGGAAGAGATTAAGGAACTCAAGTTTAGCATTCTCTGGAAAAACAGAGACAGTAGGATTGATGGATGGATGGATAGATGAATTGATAGAAAGATATGACTTCTTTGAGAGAATTGTCTAATGGAATTATGAGAGATTAAAAACTCAAAACTCTGTGGTAAGCCACAAAACTGGATACTCAGTTTTATTTTTAAGCCTTTTTGACTGATTAGACAAGGCCCTCCTAGTTATTGAGATAATATTTCATTAAAGTGGATGGACTATAGATTTTAAACATATCTAAAAAGGCCTCCATAGCAACATCTAGATTACTATTTGATTGAGTAACTGAGTGCTACAGCTTTGTCAGACTGACAAAGCCAACTCCACAGGAGAGCAGGMAAGTGGGAGAGGAAGGTTGCATTCCAAAGTTTGTCTGGTGACAGAGACACTGCTCCTGATTACCCCACAGTATCATAGATAGTCATTCACTAAAGTTTCCATGAGGAAAGCTTCCAATGTAGTGTCCTAGGGCACAAAGAATGACCTCTTACGAAGGTGGGAGGGAAGGGTTCCATAGAATTTAGGTCTCTTTGAGTGAGAGAAACAAACGTGGTGTGTGGCTAAGCAGGCTGCAGGGATAACTTAACCATAATGAGCCTGTCTAGTTACTGGCTCATTTTTCCTCCATTAAATCAACATCCATAGGTCCAAAACATCTAACCAGTGTCCTTTTAATCATTCATGGTTAGAATCTGACCCAGTAAATGTTAAATCCATTATAGTGACAAATGCACGATAGAGTGAAGTGAAATTAACAGGAAACTCAGGAGTACTTCTCAGGGTCTTGATACAAGTGAAAAAAAATACATTTGATCAATGCATTTTTCTTGGGAAATAATCACTGCGTGAGAGAAAAAAGTCATTTTCTGGTTCCAGTGATATATTTAATGAGGACATATTGCAGTTCTCCAGATAACAGTTATTTTGGAGGTGGGCGTAGAAAATAATTACAGATGTAATGCTCCCTCTCTGCTGTAACTGTGATTAGTTGTGTGTGTGAGATGCCACTTATATTCTCTGTGCCTTATTTTTGATCTTCCTTGTAGGTTTTTGCTTATCACATCATCTTGAAATTGTTTAGCACTTGAGGTTATTTTTCTTTTTCCTTGGTACTTTTACATGAAGTGTATAGAAAGTATGTCATCTCTGTAGTGAAGTAAGTCGAGGTGGGAGATTTAGATACTCACATCTTAATACGTAGCATATGTACATGTTGGCTTCACTAATCAAGTGTACCCTTTTGACTACTCAAGTATAGCTTAAGCTATATTCATGTTTTAATAACTTTCGAGAGAAATGATTTTGTCATTAGTGAGTCTTCAAGTACATATTCCACTATTTTTTAACTCTCTTCCACCCAGGTTTTCAAAAATAATGATATCCATCTCTACACCTTTGAATAATAATGTGTGTGTTTCCAGTAGACCTAAGGAATATCTCTTTATGTTGGAAAATGAAGAAAGTCTTTTCTTCATTGCATATATACAGAAACCAAGGCAAGACAAGTCACATGACTTATCTGACCTTCCCAGATAATTAAAGAAATATTTAAAACAAAACAACTTAAAGTAATCTAGAAAAACATCTTTTGAGGGAAGAAATGGAGAGGTGTTAGGGAAAAAAAATGTTTGGTGTGATTTGAAGAGACAGCAGTGGTTTATACCTGGTTACACACACACAAGAACCTTTAGCTTTGGATCAGTTATAGCACCCTGCTCATCTTACATGACCAAAGTCATCCTTAGGCCTTATTACTCTGTGTCCACCAGCAACTACATTTAATTATAAAATGAGCTTTCCCTCTCTAAAATAAGCCATTGGTGGTATGAGTTTTGGACAATTTTATTAAACTAAACTGTGTTTCCCCAAGTCTATGGAATTGAAGTGAGGATTTTCCCACTTCTGTAACATGGAGTGATTGTGGTGATATTTGCATTGTTTATATTTTGAAAGCAATTTGAGTCTGCTATCATTTGATTTTAAAAATTTTAGTAATGTATGTATTTGACAAATGCATGCTGTAGAAAACTCATAAAATAAATTAAAAAATTGAATTCCATAATTCCATCATCATAAGTAATCACTATTCAGATTACATAGTTTATACATTTGTTTTTTACAAAATTTGAATTATAGAGTATACAGTTTTCTCTTCTGATTTTTTAAATATATATATTTTCGTTGTTGATAGGCCTTTATTTCACTCATTTATTTATATGTGGTGCTGAGAATCGAACCTAGTGCCCCACAAATGCTAGGCAATCACTCTGCTACTGAGCCACAACCCCAGCCTCTCTGTTTCAGTGATATATTTTGAACTATAATTTGTATCATATTTTCAAATATTCATATTAATAATGGTCTTGTGTTTTRTTGACTTTCTTTTTAAAAATAAAACTTATCTACTCATTAAGTTGAAATTCTAATATTCTCTCATCTCATTTTCTTTTTTAATTCTTTTTATATATTAAACCATATTTATATATAATTATGTTTTCTTAGAATATATTCGAAATTATTTTCTAGAAAATGAGTACAAATGTATATATATACCAAAAGAGTATGAGATGATCTCTTTGTACCCTTAGTGTAAAGTTTAATTTTTGAAAATATTTTACTTTTTATTAAGGAAATCATAGCTGCTTTTAAAATTTATATTTCTTTAATGTCTAATAGAGTTAATATTTTCATTGCTTAAGATCTGTTTATATATTTGTCCTCTCAATTTCATCATACTTTATATATTTGGTAGAAAGTTGATGTGTTGTTAATAATGAAAAACTTTTATGAATATCAATGATATTTTATTTGTTAACATACTTTTTATTAATCATTTGCCTTTTAATTTTTTTATAAAATTTTTGAAATGAGGTAGGAATGACTGAATTTTTATGGTTAAAATACATATTTTTCTTTTGGGCTTTTTTTCTTCCAATTATTTCTTAGAATGATCTAATTTATTTAGGAATTATATAAATATGTATGCATGGTTTTATTTAGCTTTTGTTATGTATTTTCAAAACACTTAGTACTTTGATATATCTTAAACTCATTTTGATTTATGACATGAGAAATTATCATAACCTGACTTTCCCAATACTATAGATAATATGTATATGTGTACGTATACCAACACAGTATCCATTGKTATATGCACATAGGTAAATTGAATTAATGCTTTGTTTTATATTAATATTATTTATATTATAATCTAGAGTACATTAGATTGTGTTATGCACATTTTTATGTTGATTTGTTTATGAACTTTTTTCTCTAAGAACAACATCATTTCAATGATGATAGTCTTTTTCTTTCTTTTAATATTTCTTTTAATATATAGTTGCAAAAGTCACTGCTAATGATATTTTATAAACTTTATTAATTAGGTTTGCCAGAACCCAATAAAGATCACATCTTCGAAGGCCTTACACAGGACCAGGGGTTTTACACATCCAAAGACTTTTTGCCTCTTGTAGCCAAAGGCAGTAAACCAGGTATGACATATTGTCTGTTATTCTTGACATTGTCCGTATTGTTTTAAGTATCATAAATTTATATTGAATATGAGCTTGGTAGAAAATTGTTTAGATCTCAGATAGACCCTTGAATATATAGTACTTGCATAAAGTTTAAAATTAAAGCCTGATACTATTGTGTGCCAGAATTATCTATTTTTCCATTCTTTCAGGAAAACACTAAAATAAGGACTTTTTATTGTATGATGTGTACATCTAAATTGCATCACAAAAATTATTCAAAGTGAAAAGGCCTTAACAAACATTAAAAGATATGGAGAGAGCTTTAGTTGGGGGACTTTTAAAAAATAGGATGTATCTTAACATCTATGAAAGTAGAAGTGTCAAAGCCTCTTCTTGAACTTTTATAATTTTACAAAGTTAAAGCTCAATATTTTAACAGACTCCCTTTCCCTTCACACATTCCAAGAACAGCTTGAGGTGAGACCATGCTTTGCTCTGGCTCCACTATACTTATTGTCTTGGTGATAAAAAGCTGAAGCATTTTCTCCAGAACCAAATGATCTCAGTCCGTTAAACATATATTTGAAGAAGTCTGAGCAACAGACTTCTGAGCTATTCCTTCATCTAATTACTTGTGGAAATGATAGGAACTTGTACCTTTCTCTCAACATTTAAAAAGGCAAGAAACTTCTATATTAAATAATTATGGGGAAGTTTACAGCTAAAGATGTGCCCCATCTCCACTTTCTTCCTCCTCTAAAGAACTGTATGCTTGTGTGTCTGCAACCCTTTCATAGTAGGATCAGAGTGCACCAAGCATATACTTGAGAATTACCTACTGCCAATTGTCTAATCCCAAACACAAAGTCTTCCAAACACAATGATTGTACTTATTGAGATTACAGGCTTATTCTATCTGTAGTGCCATTTCAAAAATTATAGTAATTTATCTATCATCAATTTTATTTAATCTGATAATATGGTGATAGCCAATTGAGAACACCTGCACGTTTCTTTTTTATAAGTATCTTCATATGGATATCAAATCTTTATACACATGCCCTGGAGAAATGGACACTTAGTCTTATTTSTTTTCGTTTTACAGACAAAACCAGACAAAAGTAGTAAAGGGGGATAGTTTTATTTTAGCTATTTCAATAAAATATTTCTCAGAAACTCTTCAGTTACATAAAGGGCTCTTATTCAACATGTTAATCTTAAAAGATATTAAACGTACTCTATATCAGAGCTCTACATTAGAAATTGTATAAGATAATATATAAAGTAATTTAATGAAATGCTGAAAATTATTAACCCAAATCACAAGGATCATTTTTTCTTAAAACAGAAAATTTTTAATGCAAAGCTAAAAATATTTATCAGGACTCTGATAAAGAGAGTTTTAATTGATCCATTACAGTTTATTATGACCTGAACTGTTCAAAATGTATTGTTGCAGTCCTTCTAGAAGGAAAAAAAGGAGCTAAAGGTACTGACTATGAAATTACACATATGAGCATATTTTTAAAATGAGAATAAAACTGTCTTTCAATGAAGCAGAATAATTTGATAGTGACACTCCATCGTGGAAAACTGCAAGATGCAATTTTACACTGCTTTGAGTACAAGTATCTTTTGAGCTGTCATGCAGAAATGGTTTCTCTACTTGAAAATGGGGTTTTCCTTTCATCATTCAGGAATGTGCGCCTGTCACTCTCCATTGCCATCGATACAGGGAGCCGTGATTGTACTCGGAGCTGGAGACACTGCCTTTGACTGTGCAACATCCGCTTTACGTTGTGGAGCCCGCCGCGTGTTCATCGTCTTCAGAAAAGGCTTTGTTAATATAAGAGCTGTCCCGGAGGAGGTAAAATGGAACCATCAGGAAATATGGTGTTGTAATCCAGCAGATTTTTGGAAATGAAAACGTTAATATGCATTCCTCCAATCTCAATAATTAGACTGGTCCTGCTTTTTCTAATTCAGGCATTCCAAAGGAAATGCATAATACTGATTTGGATAAAATGAGAAATTTATATTTCTCAAGATACAAGTGCTTCTTTTTATCAATGTTAATATCCTTGGAACATATTCTATTTACCTAGTAACAGTGAAATGTGCTAAGTCTTTTATATCCTGAAAAATATTTTTTTATCATAATATGTATGGATATTAGAAGTATGCAGTAATTAGAAATATTTGGGACTTTCCAAAAGCTACATTTACAAGCTTCATTCAAATATGCACACATGCATACATGCACATGTACACACACACACACGCACACACACACACACACATACACACCTTCCTCAGCTCATTCTGCTGTGAAGCAAACAGAATGAGATTTCTGTGTATTTTTTTTAAATGGCTCTAATGTGAGCACTATTCATTTAATAGTTAACTTTCAAAAAATGACATATATTTAAAATCACTTCATTCTGACAGGTGACTGGTGACTAGTCTTGGGTGAGGCATCAGCCTGTTACATGTACTGTGCACCTCTCAAATTTTAATGGTATTAGAGAAAGATAATGCTTTGTAAAGGATATTAGTTCTGAGAACAAGAACCAAATGTATTTATAGAAAGATAAATTACTCATTTTATTCAAATCAGTTATGAATTTGATTTGCTTTAGAATGCCTGAACATGCTTGGAGTTTCTATACTAGGCAAGAATTATAACCATAGTCAATAGGTGATTTGTCACATGTAGATTAATCACATTACAAAATAATCTCACTAAATTATCAGAGTCACCACTGGTTCATAGTTGGGTTTTATTTTATTTTATTKATTTTATTTTTATTTTTTTAAATACATGACCATGGCATGCATTACAATTCTTATTACACAAATAGAGCACAATTTTTTCATATCTTTGTTTATAAAGTATGTTCATGCCAATTCATTTCTTTATACATGTACTTTTTTGCATTACAATTCTTATTACACATATATACCACAATTCTTCATATCTCTGTATATACAGTATGTTGACACCCAATTTATGTCTTCATACGTATACTTTGGATAATGATGTGTTTAAATGTCACTTTTCTTCTTGGTTTTTCCCCCATCTAATTTACCCCTTTACACTTAAAAAAAATCAAACATGGTCTCCTGATCATAGGAATTTTTTTATAGTAAACTCTTAGTCATTAAATAGTATAGTCTTATCATTTACAAATAAGAAAACAGCTACCATTAAATTAAGGAATTTTCCACAGTTAAAAGAGGACAGGAGGACAAGAGCTAATCTTATTCATCTGCATGCATACCACAGAATCTGGCAAATAATAACTGTGAAATATGTTTCAAGCTAAATATTTTGAATCTTGTTCATCTGATTCCTATATCAGGAAAGTTCTCATTACCAAAGGCTTACCCTTGAGGGTCTGAAGTGGAAGATAAACCTGAATGGCAAAACTTACTTCACACTATGTATCATCATCATCTATGAGCAAGGGAAACTAGAAATTAAAGGTGGCTATGTCTTCCAACTAAAGTAAAAACAGAAAAAAATGATCAGATAATTACTTAAGAGTATAGATATGGTTAATTATTTGTTCATTTATTAATTCTATACTGATTGTCCACCTATTTTATACTAGGCATTATTCTAGACAATTTGAATGTAGCAGTAAATAAATCAGATAGAATCTCATGCCATCATGGAATAGGTTCTTGGTGAGGAAAGAAAACCAATAACTGAATAAATGAACTATCACCTCAATAGTATATTGTAAGGTAATTGTTTTATGGAAGAACTATTAATATGGGAGTATAATGATTGTGTATGTGTATTAGGGTGAGAGCGGTAGTAGAAGAGAAGGCAGGATTTACCATCATATGCAGGGTGACCTGAAAGTCCTCTCTGATGAGAAGATTTTTTGAGTGTAGAAAGTAGGGAAATTGAGGTAAGTTGCATTCAAGAGAAACTTGCCAGGCCTAGCTAAATGCATTCACTCTAGATTGAAGAAGTCTCTTGGACATCTGGGAAGAAGAAAGTCAGTGTGGTTACAACAGGGTAAGAAGGGGTGGTATGTGATGTATTGGGTGAGGTCCTGTAGGCACTCATCAGGCATTTTTAGCTTTCATCCTCTGGGAAAGAGGAAAACATGGGATTGTTTTGAGCAGACATCAAGATCTGTTAAGTTTTAAAAATACCGTTCTATACACTTCTGCTCTGGGGTGGGGAGGCGGTGGCAGTCAGAATCAAAGAGGCTGGTCAGTAGCTAATAAATAAGTAGGCAATTAGTCAATGTGACCAGCTTGAGGGAAGGAAAGAGTGAGAATTTAGATGTAGCTCAGTGGAGGCCAGAGCTGAGTGGGCTGAGTACTAAAATGCTGAGTACTGAAGTAGAAGTGGGTCCTTGGGATCACAGATCACAAGCCTGCAGTAGAGCTTTTGTAGAACTCAGTTTGATCTGRAGCTTAATGAAAGCCAAAAGAACAAATCTGGGGGTATGTCTTTATTATTAGCTTACAGAAAATCACATTTTCTACGTGTTTTTAAAACTACTTGACCTTGATCTCCAAGAGAGTAAGATTTATGATCATCTCTTTTGGTCACCCATATCTCCTTCTTTGCCTCCCACAAGTAGTGCTCCATAGAAAGGGTGCAAGAAATGATGGTGGATGAATATTTCCTGGAGGGAATCTGTACCCAAGGTTTCTAGAATCAGCCATGCAGGTTGGATGAATGCCATACCAGTAGGCAGGCCCTTGAGAGTTTATCTGATAATTTGATGCAAAATTTCTCAATGTGAGATTACTAAATAATTTAGTGTATGCCAGGATTTTAAGGTTGGGTCACTTGCCAGTATGTACACATTTTTTAGGATTGTAGACTTCTGGTATTTGTAGAAGTTCCAGGTTTAATCCATCATGGCCATTTCTTGATTTTGTATACATTCAAAGAAGGATGAAGATATTGCAGTAGTTGCTTCCACTCTGAATCTAAGAAGTCAGAAGAATGGAAGTCAAGGTTACCATATCTGCTTCAAGATATGAATTTTGAAAGACTGTATCCTAGATCACATTTTAACCAACATAAAGAATGTAATATTGGACCCACCCAATTTCTTTGTAGTTCTCCAATTTATCTTCTGTTTTCCATTCCAACTCATGCATACTTCAACCATATTAGGATATTTTACATTTAATGAGGAGCAGGGACATTTGGAGTTTCCTCACATATATATATGATTTAACCATCTTGGCCTCTTGAGTAAAATTTGGAAGTAAAATATTTTTTCCATTATTAAATTGCCTCACCATTAGGCAAGTCATCATGTATATGTCCAAAACTAATTTCTCATCATTCAAAGCTGAATTTCTCATTCATTGAGAGTGGGCAATACAGAACAATATAATTTTTTCATCYTCTAGAGACAATTGTGAATTATTACAGAGGCTAGTTATAGTGAACACGGAATAATTTGAGATTATATATATTAGCAATATTATTAGATACACATTTTTTTAATCTTCAAAACTAGGTAGCACTACTCAGTAGATTCTGCAGTGATAAACATCCAATTTCTCTAATGCGAAAGTTCTCAAATTTAGTGCGCACTAAAATTACCTGGAGAGCTTGCTAAACACAGATTGCCAGACCTTACCTCTAGAGTTCTGATTCAGTGGGTCTGGGGTGGGCCTGAGAATTTGCATTTTTAACTAGTTTCCTGATGATGCTGATGCTGCTGGTCCACTGCTCTAATGTATCATCCACGTAGTTCCCAGCTGTCTAATCAGAGCCATAAGCAGTACGCTGTATGGATGCACTTTCCATCTTAGTTAAGAAAGCATTAATGCTAAAGGATATAGGTTTGATGAAACGAAGAGAGGGAGGCATCATCAGCATATTGATGTAATTCTGATTCCAAATGTCTTTCAGGCTCCCTTGTGGCCTCACACACATACTAAATAGGATGCTACTGACAAACTAGCGCTTCTCAGCCGTGGGTCCTTAGGGAAACCAGCCAATCACTCAGCACTATCCTCTAAGAAGATGAGGAAAAATCTGTTAATAATTCCCTCCAGTACTTTCTGCAAGCTTAAATAGGTGAGATTAAATTTCACAGGATAACAGAATCCCCCAAAATGCTGGTATTAAAAGCTGTTGACAGATCAGATAAAACTGCAAGAATGCTTTAGGCGGTTGGGAATCCCTAAAAGGAGGCATGAAGGTCAGGACTCAACAGACCTGCTTGAGTTGATAAATTCAAAGGCTAAGGCTGGAGAAGGACTTTGTAGAACTTGTTAATTATTACTGAGAAAGATATGGTACAAAATTAGTTTTAATATCATGCCCCATGCACAAAGAATATTGTAAGAATCTATTGTACATATGTTCAATTTCCAAACAGCAGCAACATTTAATAGAGCCTTAAGTCTCCTATATTGTCATGGAGTCTCTATAGTATTCCTTAGGATCTCTTAGATTCCCCCTGTTTGTTTGTCAAGGTGTTAACTGGTTTAACTTTGATGTGCCAGTTTCCCATCTTTTCACTATTCAGAGGGTCAAGTGCTACTTTATCATTACAGTAATAGGAATACTCATACCGGATTGTTTGCTGTCACAATTTTTTTTTCTTTATCTGTTAGTGTAACTCTGAAATAATACATTTCTATATGAAAACTTGCCTTTTCACTGAATCCTTCTGATATATTCCAGCAGGCCCCATAATGGATCACTCTTGTGGCATGACTTGCAGGCCTCTATCAGAAAGATTTAATATCAAATGACCATGCTAAAGCTTTATAAGTTTTATTCTGWATATCTTGTTAGCTAAACATGCATTTTTCTGCAAATAACTGATACTTCCTAGTTTTTATTCAATAACAAGAAATATGAAACTG